ACGGTCGGGTCTGTGTCGTCCTTTAGCAGAAAGCTTGGTGTCCAACATCTCGTCTCTAACTCCTGCCTGCTTCTGTCACAGATTATATGTCAATGTGGACGCCCCTCTGTCTCTCTCCTCTCCACATCTCCCTTTTTTCGTTTCTTTATTTACGCTCGACTGTCTATGATCTCGTGCAGGTCACTAAGGATTACAGACTGGCAAGGGTTTCTGGTCCATTGACATATAATGACATTACAACTGCTTCATCGGAGGGGAGGAGGGACATTTGGACAGACAGAGAGAGAGGCTGGGATGAAGCAGAAGCTATTGATACAGGTCAGAATAGAGCTCATGTACAACCATCAAAATTAAAACAACATTTCTGTCCCATCTGTTGCTGTAGGAGAGTTCATTTCTGGTTAGACTGAGCAGAAATGGACTCCACGTCTGCTCGATTGCAGCCTTAATAAAAACAAAACTGAAGTTCAAAAAGTTTAACAAGGTTGAGTCAGGTCCTCTGGACGGATTCGTTGTTGAAAAGTTTCATCTCTTATGAAAAAGACTTCTTCAGTCTGAGGAGCTGCAACAAACTGGTTCATCAGGGCACTAACGATCCGTCGTTAGGCTGCTGGTCCTCCAAAAGATGAAACGTCTCGACAAAGAAGGATCTGACTCAACCTTCTTAGATTCATCTCCCTGGATTATTGAGCAGCATCAGGATCAAGTTGAAAAAGATTTCAGTGAACTGCTATCATCTCACCTTCACCAACAAACCCTCCATCATTAGAAACCATCTTGATTGTCTCATTTCTTTGTGTTTTTCATCTTTACCTGTGTGGACATGAACTCTGACCTGCACGTCACCTGTCCCGGGCCTTTGAAACTCATGCTATCACAAAGAGAAAACTTCTTACAAATGTACTGGAACCAACAGGCGTCTTCCTGAGTTTTACTCTTAACAAAAAGGGAAACAACAACAACAACCTAAAGATATTTATATGATAAGGAACTCAAATAATTACATTTTTATTCATTTGGAGGCAAGTTGTTGCTCTAAAACCAAAACTAGATCTTTTAAAAACAACTGCTCTTATTTTGTTAAAAAGCAAATTGTTGGTGTTGGCAGAACTTCTTATCTCTTTGTATCACCATTTCTACACATTAACCCTTTGGTACCGCTTCACATTTGTTGGTGGTTTTGTGTGTGTCCAAAGCGTCCTGAGGAGTGTTTCTGGAGAAACAAGGTTTCAGTTCGACAAAATTTAAATCAACACGTCTGAATTAATTTCTACAATCAGATAAAGCCCCAGAAAACAGCTGGAACGTGTCGGGAGGATGAGTGAGCAGAGAGGACGTTTCACGTTTTATAGATGATGTTTGAGGTTGATGGAGAAGGTCTGAAGGAGCTGGACGTGCCTGGTGTGGTGGAGAAGATGTGACAGTCGTAGTGCAAGACAGGTACAATGATAGATGAGTGAGATGTGCAGTAGGAGGGGTGGTCCACATCAGGGATCAGATCTGGGACCCCTCCTGTTTAGCCAGCATCTGACTAGGCAGCAACACGAGGGAGTTTCTAAAGTGTCTCAAAATGTTTGTGGAGGTTCTCAATGTTCTCACGTTGAGTCTCAGAGGCTCGGTCTTATTTGTTTGAATTTTGAACAAGTTCAGAAAGTTTGTTCAGGGAACTGTTGCGAGTGTCTTGAACCCTTGTCAGATTACTCTCTGTCAAATCTAGAGAGCCAGAGCTGTGATTGGACACCTGCACAGGAGCTCAAAACGTCTGAGGATTAAATCCCAAATGTCTAAAAGAATTTAAAACGCACTGATGATAATTATTAAAGACTGGTCCTAACCTCCATCTCTTTATTTCTACAGTGTACTCCAGTAGACTAAATCATAACTGTGGGAGCCACTGCCAAGTTAAGAACAAAAAGCACCGAGGAGGGTACGATGTGGGCGGTAGCATAACGTGTTTGGCCTAGAAGAATGGTTTGAAAGTTGTGAAAACAATAAGCCGTGATGATCAAATTATATCGGTACAGCTTGGTGGTCACAAACACTGATTATAGTGAAACTGCGACAGAAACTTTGGTCATTTTCTCACAGTTGTGAGTCACCAGCTGGTCTCCAGCTGTTGCAGCCCAGTGAGGTAGAAGCAACTGGTAAGGCAAGAGTCTTCCTACACTACCAACGTTTGCAGATGACACTGTAGTAGTAACAAGTGGAAGAGAGCCTGTAGAGGTAGAGAGATGCTCCGGACAGAAGAAAGACCGAGTCTATGTGTGAGATGAAAGAGTGGAGGTACTAAAGGTGGATGAGTCTAAGAACCTGGGGTCAGACAGTGAATGTTCATGTATGAAGGAAGATCTACAGAGGGTTGGTGTAACGGAGGCAGATGTACTCTGCAGAGCTTCCTGTAGGCTGGTCTGAACATTGACACAACCTCTGAGGAACGTCCAGGCTGTAAGGAGGTCGAGGCGCCTGCAGGGAGGATCCATGTTCATGTCAGAGGTGGTGACTCATTAGGCTTCTTGAATCTAAAACCAAGCAGAAACTATCAGAAACTCTTCTTCTTGCTTTGTGCATGACCCCCTGAACACGTACAGTCTTTAGAAGCAGCAAGAGGCAGAAAGATTTAAAAAGCCCCCCCACTGGGAGCACTTATCAACAGAGCCGTTTGTTTTCAGAATTAATGGAGGCTTTCACACGGCTGCTGTTTTCTCGTCTCCTCTTGCATCACCGTCCGTCCTTAACGACCGGCTGAGGTTTAATCCCAGGCATTTATTTATTTGGGCTAGGCGCCAACTTGACACTTGTGAAAACATATTTTAATGAGGTGCCAGTCTGTGGAAACAATAACCAGGGCTGAGATGTTTTAATTGGCTCAGACAGCAGCTCTGTGAGACTGGAGGGGGATCATTCAAACACCGTCAGGGCTGCTGCTGCAGCAACACGCCGTCCTCTCAAAGGTTCAGACAACAGCTGCTAAACCTCAGCTCTTTAATCCCACCCAAGTGTTGGGATTAAAGTTCACGGAAAGTGCTTTTTGCACAGCCTACCTCAGTATACGAGGTGTTTCTGGACCACTCGAGACCACTTCACACGTTTTATTTAGCTCCAGCTTCAAAGTAGATGCTTCAACGGGGCCTCTGGAGTGACGTAAAGGGTGGTCATCGTTCCAGACGTAGATGAACGTTGATGGGCTGAACAAACGAACGCTCATCCAGCTGCAGTTTTAAAACAGCATCCATATTAATGAAGTAGCTCCGTCCAGTCTGAGGCCATGGTCCTCAGTCAGAGGGTGGAGTGCTCTCTTCAGGTCGAGGGTGAGGTTCTGCCAGAACATGGAGTCTTGTTTGCTTTTGATGGGTTTTCATCAAAAAATGAGTAAAATCCTTCTCTTTCTCCATTTGAGCTCCTCTTTATGCTTTAGGTTGTGTCTCGGTGAGCTGGAGGGTCAAACTGTGAGAAAATGAACATTTGTGTTGCAGACGTCCTGAATGAACGCTGGTCACCGGCCGTCAGAGCTAAAAACAAGCAAAGCTGTCTCTGTGGTTACAACCACTCCACACAGGTTGGTGTTTAATAAAACAGTTTCAAATGCCGACGTTCTGCTTGAATCTTGTGACCAGTGAGCCGTGCAGCCACACTGTGCACAGTGAAGTTTAGAAATTACAGCCCGTCTTTGTGCACGGCTTGGAAACCTGTGCTCCTGGCTGTTCTGTGGCCCACCTCCACAGCCCTGGAGAACATTTGAGAACTAGAGGAGGACAGGTTTAGAGCGAGGTTTTGATGTGGTCTTTAGACGTGTTGGAGACTCGTGCAGATCTCTGACTGCTCAGAGAGGATTGTGAACGTTGATATACATTTCAGAGACTCCCTTGCTCATGCTGTTGCCAACTAGCCGCAGTGAGATTCGGCCTTTAGTGTTGATCAAGATGTCTGATCCAGCTGAGGGACAAGGAAGTCTTTGAACTTGTTCAGCTTTTGTTTTTGACTGTTCTCAGAGATCGATGAGGTGCAGGTCTATAAACCAGACCTCCTTTAACAGAATGGAGGACAGATGAGTGAGAAGTATCTGTGACTAACATTGTTGACGTGAACCTGATGCTGGTGCCAAACTGGAGACCTCACGAGCCTGTTGGACAGTGATCGGTTGCTTTTTCATTCCCCTAAAAACAGCCGGCTGCAGCAGCCACAACCAGACGTGCAGAGAATCTGGACTCAGACCCACCAGAGTCTTGTTTAATATGCCACTCACGCCTTCCAGACACCCCCCCCCCCTTTATCTTCCTATAACCCAGAGTACTGAAGCAGGCCTGCAGTTCAACACAGAAACACTCGAGTGTCTATTAATGCCTAACAAGTATGCATGGCTGCAATCAGCAGGAGATGTCGAGTCAGCCGGTGTTTGATTAAATTGTTCTGATAGAGAATCAGTTCAGCGATGCTGCTGCGTCGTGTGTGTCCACTTCAAGGGCAGGGAAGAAACACACACCGCAGAGAGGGAAAGAACCCGGAAAACTTCAGATAAACCCAAAGTAAAAGGACCTGAGAGCTACACATACTGCAGCCAGGGAAGTACCAAGGAAGTACTCTGTACGTACCGGCTGGATTATGTGCTGCTACTAAAGACGCATCATGTTGGATGTAAAGAAAAGCAACCGGGCCGCTCTGCAACAACCTCCAGTCCGTTTGGCACCAGGTCGTTTGTTTCCTCCACACATCCTACATGTAATACTCACTGGCCAAGTTTGATTTCAAACTCCAGACACAGACTGGTTTCAGGGGCCCCAGGTCCCACTGGGCTCTTCAAACCAGATCCTAAACAGAACCGGTCTGTCAGCCGGTCCATCCATCCAGAAACCAATGCCTGATTAAGAACTCAGAGCACCAGCAAAGCTGAACCAGTCTGAGAAACCGGCCCGTCGCCAATCTCAGCCTCTCTGTCCCTCCTCTCCTCCCCTCCCCCATGTCTCCCTCTGTCCTCCTCCACCCCCCCACTCCTACTCTTATAGGACAAGGAGGTGAACCTGGAACAGGTGCATCGTCGTATGAACAGTCTTTTGGACGAGGACTTGGTCCACAAGCAGATCCCCGGCCCCTCTATCGAGATCTCTGCGCTGGACATCGGCAGCATGCAGCCCAGCCAGGCGTCCCTGGTGCCCGGCCCGGAGTCCAGGCGGGACTACCCGCCCTCGGGCCTCGCTGTGACCACCTACCTGCCCGGGGAGGGGGGGCCACCTCCCCCGCTTCCCCATCCTCACCATGGGGGGACCCTAGGCAGGACACTGCCCCCATCCCAGGTCCCTGGCAGCACCACGTTGCCCCCGCACCACCCGCTCAGCAGCACCATGCAATGCAAACACAGGGCCCCCAACGGGGGGCTGTTCCGGCAGAGTCCTGGCAAGATGCCAATGTCCTACCAGGCAGTCTCCGGAGGACCCAGACCCGAAGCCATTGATCCCTCCCACAGTACGTCCATATAGACGTCGAGGTGGGGGTGGGGGTGGGGGTGGGGTGGGGGGACTCAGAAAGACAAAACTGATGTACAAAGATTTTATATCGAACCGTCGGTTCAGAGAAGACGAGACGTTTGACTACTGGGTTCCTGGACGGGTGTAACTTTTCTCCTGTACATTTCTGTAAATATCAGGACAAGTGAAGTCAAAGTGTATTTTGAATATTCTTAAATTTTGAAGTTGACTTATAAAAACAAAAATAGATAAAAAATATAAATATATATATATATATACACACATTGATGAAAAGTTCTGTTTAAATGGCTTTGTAAATTTTCTTCAATTAAATCGATGACGCGGATTTCATTGTGATTGTTTTCTAAGTGCCGAACTCAAAAGATGTCTCCACAAGTCATCGATGTAAACCACTACCCATGATGCACTGCTGTAGGGACGCACCTCTGTACCAAACCTATAAACAGTCCATCATCAGCATCGGGTGGAAAGAATCACTTTTTCCCACGTTTGTATTAAAACATAAAACAGACCTTGTATTTTTTCAGCTGAATCGACTTTTTGTTCACGTCGTCTGTAAAATGTTTCAGTTTTTCTTTCTCTAAATGAATTATTTTTACTTTGTGTTCGTTTTTTTTTTTTAAGAAGGAAGCCCAGAAGAGCCGAAGGAGAAACTCTTCGGCTGTGTTCACTCAGTTTGGCTGTAAGTCCAGCAGGGACGTCGAGCAGATGTTGGTCTGAACAGTGCAACATATTTTAGTATTATAAAAATAATGATTTATACTAAATGTGAGTTTACGCTGGTATTTTTAAAGAAAAATAAATCTTTGAACAATCGGACCCTGTTGCTGCAGCTCAACCCTCCTGCTGTCCTTGGGTCAAAACGTCCCAGAAGACCTCAGTTTAAAAACTCGGGACTTGTGGGTCGTTTTGACCCAAGAGCAGCAGGAGGGTCCATTTTAAAGAACTCTTTAAAAGCCGGTCCAAAAAGACGAAACGAGAGCGTCTAAACTGAACGTTCTGCGGTGAGGTCGACGCTGAGAGAAATTTAAATCCAGACGCCATTTTTGCCGTGCTCCAAGTGTTTGGTTAAATCATGTGATCTGGACAGTTTATGGAAGAGATGTTTGGTCTTTCACGTGAAAGACTTCATCAGTCTGAGGCCTGCCACCTGGATCGGTCTTATAAATAGAAGCTCCTTGATGTTTCAAGCCAGCCCTGTGTGGAGTTCACAGAACTGCTGGAAGAACATCTGAGCAGAACCTCTTCCTTCCAGCCATCTTCACCCTTCATTTATCAAAACCTTCATGCCTGCCATGACTATTCAGATATTAAAATTTATTTAGCCGTTCTGTTGAAAAGAACATTTTTTTTTTTTTTTAAGGACTTTTGACTTGTAGTAAATGTTGGACTCAACTGGTTCCGCTGCTTTTTGTTTGACTCCATCTTTTATTGGGACCAATTCATTTCAGTTTATTTATAAAGCGCCAAATCACAACAAGGTTGTCTCAGGGAACTTTACCAATTGTCTTTTATGTGAATGTTCCTGTAAAGTTCTCTATCTAAGGAATCCAGCAGACGAGTTGAATCTTGGCCTCGTTGCAGTCTCCCATCCTGAGCAAGCACAGTGGAGACAGTGGAAAGAAAAACTCCCTTTTAAAAGGGACCAATCAGCTGGTTTCTATAAACTGCAAGCTTTCTGCTAACGGCCGCTTCATAACTCACTGTGAGGCGTCTGGATTCAATCGACTGTTCCTGCTTTGATTCGGACTCAGTTTTACAGCTTTGAGATGACGGCCACGATAAACTGAACAGAAGATAGAACTCGTTACAATAAGACCGGACACTCAGAGATCATCTTTCACAAAGTACACCAGCAATGCTGTCTACAGGTTCTGTTCCTGTGAGTATTTACAGGTGCTGGTCATTAAACTAGAATATCATAAAAAAGTTGATTTATTTCAGTAAATCCATCCAGAAAGTGAAACTTGTATATTATATTCATTCATTACGCACAGACTGATATATTTCAAATGTTTATTTCTTTAAATGTTGATGATTAGAACTGACAACTAATGAAAACCATTCATTAGTTCAAAACTTTTACAGTGAAACCCCTCTGGGCTCTGACTGCCCCACTCTTCTGTTTGCCTCTCGTCTAACGCGTTTGTTCTGGGATAATGGATCAAACGTATTCGCAGTCGCTCTCCTGCTGTAGATCTTGTTTTTGTTGCTCGTGTGTTCAAATCAGGAGCTTTTATTGCCTCTTTAGCCAAATGAAACTTCTCAAACATCTGCAGGAGGAAACGTATTTAAATGAAGGAGGACGCTGCAGCGGAGGGACTGATCATAAAACGTCACTTTGGACGTTTTCAGCTCGTTAGTGGTTCCATGTTTACATCACAAGGTTCCAGGTAGTTTGTTGTCGACCTTAAAAACTGCTGTGAACAGTCTGAGCTAGTTCTCGTTAAAGAAGAACCTTTTTAGACACAGAACTTGGAGCAGCTGGACTTCTGATGAGGAGGGGGGACGGAACGACAGCTCCTGTTCCCACCAGTCATTCCTGATGGTGTCCATGATCACCTGAGGGCATGACGGAGGACGCCATCATCCACAGAGCTGGGGGGCTGACCTGAGCTGCTCGGGAGGACATATTCCCACATCGTTTGTCTTTTTGACTGAATTAATCTGAGCCTTTACAGAAATCTGTTTTCTACAGGAACACGTTTCATAAGAGCCATTAATGTGCAACATGGGCTTAACGAGCGCGGTTCTCCTTCAGGAGCGCGGTTCTCCTTCAGGGGCGCGGTTCTCCTTCAGGAGCAGCGGTTCTCCTTCAGGAGCAGCGGTTCTCCTTCAGGGGCGCGGTTCTCCTTCAGGGGCGCGGTTCTCCTTCAGGGGCGCGGTTCTCCTTCAGGGGCGCGGTTCTCCTTCAGGGGCGCGGTTCTCCTTCAGGAGCGCGGTTCTCCTTCAGGGGCGCGGTTCTCCTTCAGGAGCGCGGTTCTCCTTCAGGAGCGCGGTTCTCCTTCAGGAGCGCGGTTCTCCTTCAGGCTGTTTGGAAACACGCCGCAGGTTTTCAGGAGATGAGCGACCTTCAACGACCTGGAGGAGGAAATGATCAGGACTTTTAGGGCTTCATGATCCAAACGTGACCTGGAGGTGGAACCAGTTTCATGTGACAGAAAACACACGGGCTAGAGTTCTGGGGTTCCTGTTCCACGCTCGGGTCACTGAAGAGTTTAACGTGTTTTCTGTGACGGACGTTTGGGATTGAAAACATGTTTTATTTTTAAAAAGTGAAATGAGGTCATGTGGACGGATTCTTTTTGGGAGAAACATTTCATCTGAAAGACTTCTTCAGTCTGAGGCCTGCAACAGGATCTGTTGTAGAGGTCACCCCCTGGATGTTTCAGCCAGCTGCTGTGGAGTTCACAGAAACTGTCCAACTTGCTGCTCACACCAACAGTCTGAGGACACCAAGGACAAAGAGGTGCAGAAAAACTAAAGATCCGTTGTTTTGGACGGATCAGCCCAAACTGAACCGCTGCTCCACGTTCAGGAGAAACACCTCAAGAAGCTCCATCTTTGTCTCCAGCTGCACTCAGCAGATAAACGTCTCCATGAGAAGAAAACCGGCGCCGGTCCTCTGCTCTTCAGCTCCGACACAATCGACGCCGAGCGGAGACGGCCATGAAGACGTCTGAGCAGCTGTCGCCTCCATCTACACATCGTTTTTAATCTGAAAGCTCAGAGCGTGGAGATAATCTCCCACACGTCATAATCTGCTGTTGTGTTTGGTCTGAACCCAGATCTTCATCCTACACGTGATCTACTCATCTTCAACAACCTTTCATGTTCTGCTTTCATTCATCTCATCCGTGAATCCCTGCAGCAATTTATTGGCTCCAAATATGGACATCCATCCTAAAGTCCCCCCCCCCCCCCCCCCCCCCCCCCCCCCCCCCCCCCCCCCCCCCCTGCCCCCTCGGACACCCCCACCCCGACCTGCCTGTGAGATAAAGGCTCTCGCAGTAGTTGCGTGGTAACGGTGAAGCACCACGGTCTGGATCAGTGGGAAGCTGCTGAAGGTCCAGCCGCCCTCACAGACTAATCCCAGGTTTTCACTGAAACAAGAGACGGCAGGAGCTGGACGGTCCTGCTGCGCCTGAACGCATCTGATGAGTTCAAAGAGTATTTGATGTCAGCCTCAGCAGAGCATCCAGAAAGTGCCACAGCGCTTCACTTCTTCCACATTTGATGTTGCAGCCTTATTCCAAATTGTTTTAAATTAATATCTTTCTTCGGAATTCTGCACATGATGACAGTGAGAATAAAGAGTCGAGATATTTATTTTTTTTACATTTTTGCAAATTTTTTAAGAATAGAAAACTAAAAAAAAAAAAAAAAAAAAACACATTTACGTAAGTATTCACAGCCGTGGAGCTTCTAACTGGGCCTTCCTGAAAGCAGAGAAGAAACCCAAACAGGACTCCAGTCAGCCATCAGGTGAAAAGGAGGAACCCAGACCCAGACCAGTGGTCATTCCAGATGTTGAGGGAGTATCAGAGAAACTGAGACGTTTATTTTCTAAACATAACGTCCCAGTGGCTTTTAAACCCCAAAATACATTAAAGACTGGTTCATCCCAAAGATCCAGTCCCCCGGCACAAACAGAGTAATGTTGTGTATGTTGTTCAGTGTCAGGAGGGTGATCAGTCTTACATCGGGGAAACAAAACAGCCACTGGCCAAAAGGATGGACCAGCACAGAAGATCAACATCATCAGGCCAGGACTCTGAGGTCTACACTCATCTCCAGGCCAGCGGTCACTCTTTCAGGGATGAAGATGTTCACATCCTGGACAGAGAGGAACGATGGTTTGAGAGAGGAGTAAAGGAGGCCATCTTTGTGAAAAGAAATCGTCCATCATTAAACAGGGGTGGAGCCTCCAGGTTCAACTGTCCCCCTCTTACAATGCTGTGATTGCTAGTATCACTCAGCCCTCTGTGAAC